TTAAAGAGTCTCTAATAAGAAGTTTAGAGGTTTCTTCTAGAAATAGATAGATATTACTAAGCTAGACGCTACTAAACCTTATAAAAGGCTTTATATTATACTATATAATATATATTTAAAGTTTTATAGATTATTATAATAGTTTACTAGTTCTTATAAGGTTTAAACTCTAAGAATAGCTACTTTTAGAAAAGACTTATTTTAAGCTTACGTAATAGAAAATATATAGTGCAAATTTAATAGTAGGTGTATATAGTATAGATTAATATATATTTAAATTTTTATAGAAATATATTAAGGTTTCGCTTAGTTATTTAAGAAAGACTCGTTAATTCTTAGGCTTAGCATTTTTAGAGCGTTCGTTTGTGTAGGGCGTTCGTTTGTAAAGTACGTTAAGTTATAATTTTCTAAAATATTAGTAAATTCTAGAAATAATTCTTATTCTAAAAACTACTCTAGACTAGGCTAGATTAGGCTAGATCTATCTAGAGCTCTCTAAATAATACTAAAAATATAAGAACTAGGTATACTATAGCTAAAGCTTTATAATAATATCTAATTTAAGAAAAAGAGACCTCTACTTACCTAACTAAGGCTCTCTAACTCTAGATTACTCTTAAGAGGCCTAGATCTACTAAACCTACTTATCTAAATACTTCTTATTCTAGTCTAGCTACTTAGTATTCTAGTCTTAGATAAAGTTATTTTATAGACTCTACCTCTTTCTTATTATAGCTAGAACGTGCTAGACAAGAAAGTTAACGTGTTCTTAAAGAAGAGTAACCTTAGCCTAGAGAGCTAGAATCTTCTCTAAGCTAGAGGTAGCCTAGATTAGGTTAAAACAGCCTAGATTAATATAGAGTAGGTACTTACCTAGTAGATCTACTTTAGTAAGGTAGCTAGAGGCGAGTTCTTAAGTAGCTTTACTAGACTAGCTAAGTAACTCTTCTTCTTCTTCTCTATTATACTAAGAACGCTAGTATTAATAAAATAAGATAAGTCTAAGTATAGTAGAGTTAGAGAATTATAGGTAAGCTTATTTTTAGTAAGTCTAGTCTAGATTAGCCTAGATTTCTCTAGGTTATACCTAGCTATACTTACTTAAGATACTTATTTATAACCTACTCTAGCTTAGCCTTAAAGATAGTCTAGGTAGTAGGCTTAAGAGATCTAAGGTTAAGAACTCTAGTCGCGTAGTTTGTTAGTAAGACTTACTCTAATAAGAGAATTAGTAGCTTAGTAACCTTCTTAGAAACCTAGAAAGCCTAGATTAGCCTAGATTAGGCTAGAGACACCTAGACTATATACCTAATAGTAATCTCTACCTCTCTTAAAGTAGTTACTATACTTAAGTAGAAGATTAGTCTTATTTTTATTAATCTACTCTAATAAGATATAGACCTTATAGCTTTATAGACTTACGTTCTTTTTAATAAAGAATTAGTATATAGGTACTACGTTCTACTTATCTAAGAATATAGTAGTTAAGGTTTTATTAAAGTAGATTATATAACTATTAGCTAAGTATCTTACGCGCGTATATACGTTATCTAGGTAAGCCTTATAATAATTAGCTAGATCTATAGTAGACGTAGCTAGAGAGAGCTAGAGAGCTCTAGAGAGAGCTAGATTAGAATTAAGAAGGCTAGATAGAGCTACAGAGAGTAAGAGTAGGCGTTAACAAGAATAGAGTAGAGTTAAGAAAACTATAGAAGAGTTAGATTAGCCTAGACTAGCCTAGATTAGGCTTATCTAAATCTTAGCTAAAGTTTAGAAAAACTTACTAATTAGCGAGAGAAGAAAGAAAAGAAGAAGAATAGAGTAGAAAGATTTAGCTAAAATTTTAGATTTTTATACCTCTAAACTCTAACGCTAGCTAAATTACTAGGTATATAGACTACTTTAGTAAGTATATAGACTACTTAGAAGAAGAATTTTTTACGCTTTAACTTAGAGCTAAGTCTTTCTAAGAAGAGACTCTCTATTATAAGTAGTACCTAGGCTACTTTAACAAGGCCTAAACTAGGCTAGATTAGCCTAGCGCTGCGTTAGCTTAGTCTAGACAAGGCTAGATTAGCTTAGCGTAGTGTTAGCTTACTCTACCTACTCTTCTTAGATATAGTCGTAATTCTCTACCTAGAAGAAAGAGTAGAGAATTATATTATAGAATACTCTAGAATTAACTACCTTTTATCTATATATTCTACTATTACTCTATTACTACTAGCTTAGTCTAAAGAATTATACGTAGATTCTTCTTTTATACTAGCTTTATAATAGAAATAATATTACCTTAGATAGTAGTTACTAGCTCTAAGAGATAATTATAACTAAAGAGTCTTTAACTAGATAATTATAAGTAGATTTTAGTAATTATAATAGTAAGAGTAGTAGATAATATATAG